CTCTCTCTCTCTCTCTCTCTCTCTCTCTCTCTCCCCCTCTCTCTCTGAGTCTCTCTGTCTCTGTCTCTCTCATTGCCCTCCACCGCCCCGGCATCCCGCCGGACAGCGCCCGCCAACCTTGGCCTAGCTCCGATTTGAACGCGCCCAATAACGCGCAAATTTAATCTCATTCTTCCGCTTTCAGACCCACGTCTGTCGCGCCATGCCCCGTTCGCCCGAGGGTGATGGGAGAAGGGGCGGGGGCACTAAGTCAACCTGGGCTTTCTGGTGCACGCCTCCCACCCTCCGATGGAAGGGAGGTCGGACTCCTTTCGCCGTCTTCCGCAACCCACACACCACCGCAGTTTTTATGTCTATCCGTTATCGTCTCTTTTAAACACGGATTTCTTCTAAATTCGGCCCTCAAGTTAAAAGCTTTCGTCCGTGTGCTCGGTCATCTATATTTGACGAATGACTGGCCAACGCGGTGTCGTGAGCCCACGATGTCGAACAGATGATGATGGAGTCGCTTCTCGGGGGAAACGGGGAGGGGGGGGGGTCGCGCCCGAAGCTCAAACTCAACTAGACAGTCTCCGTGAGGTTAACAGACACGGTTAATAGTGGCGACGCCTGACAGACAACCAGCATCGCTGCAGCGGTGGGCGCGAGCTGCGAGACGAACGCCGAGCGACAGTGTGGCACAAACTTGCATCCTTGACCCGCTGGCCAACGAGACAACGAAGAAAAGCACCCCAAGTGCACGATCAAAGTCAATGTGAGGGCCTCAACAAACGGGAATACGTCACGAAGAGGTCATACAGGTCATATGGTCGTCAAAATAGCCCGTTTGTAGCTCAATTTGACCTGATGTCACAAAGACGTCATAATATGACGTCTTCGTTACTTCACTGTTTGTTGGAGCCATTTGACCATTGTTTTGACGCGGCTCTGACGTGGAAAGGGAAAATGACAGTTTTGTCGCGATGACAAGTGTTATTCAACACTTGAGAGCGAAATGAGAATCAAGTCATCCACGTTATTAAAGTGTGTGACCACTGTCTCACAAATGCGACACACAGTTAACTAACTCCTTTGTGTGTGGTGTTATACCTGCCAAACACTCGTATGACATGTGACACTTACTCATGCACTTTTTAGTATGGGAATAGTGTACTTCAAGGTGGTGTACTTCGACTAACGGGGGAAGGAGAACAGCGGCTTAAACGTTTCCAATTGGTCGAGAGCTTCCCGCCTCTACGTCACGCGGGTAGTGGGGGAAAAGGCTTGACAATGGAACCTTTATGTTCTACCCGCTATTCTTTTTCCTCCCCCATCCGAAGTACACGATTCCACGCACTTTTAATCTGTAGAGACTGGCGGTGCCGTTGCCATACCGCTTTCGCTTGGTCATGTGTTTTTATCATTTTAATTTCAATCAATCCCGCGTCATATCTGTATCTCAGGACGGGGGAATAATACGCATCAGCTTGCGGGGTGCTTTGACCCGCACCGCAGCGAGTGTACGAACAGTGTACGAACAGTGTACGAACAGTGTGCGAACAGTGTACGACAAGAAGTAGCAGGGGCGCACTCCCGGACTGCCCCCCCCCTTTCCCGAAAACAAAACACAACATCACAACTCCGTCTTGACCCTTTGCTCCTGAATGTTTGAAATGAAAATGAAATGAAAATTCCCAGCAACGCCTGGGCCCCTG